TATTACATGTTTATCCTGGTGCGGAGCACCTGGAGTCAAACAGAGATATAAACTATCCTACACCCAATTTAGCTGCAGAAAACCGGGACGATAGGGGCTGCTGGGGGTGGGGATTTCCTCTTCCAGGTCCCGCTCTGAGGACTGCCCGTTCCCCGGTTCCCTCTCTGAAGCCGGCATCTTCCCCGGGCAGGCAGGGGCCATCCCCGCACCCGGCGGGACGGTTCGTGACGGGACGGGCGGGGGCGAGCGGGCCCCGCTCCCCCGCGGCCGCGGCGCTGCGGCTCCGCCTGGCGTTCAGCAGCGGGATCGCGGCTGCCGTGCCGCCGGTGCGTCCCCCGCGCTGGGGGGCTCCGTGGAAAACCTCCCGGACAGGCTGGAAGCGCTCCTCAGCCAGGCGGAGTCCCGCGGGGATCGTCACCCTGCTCATCCCCCGTTTGCGGAGGCAGCGGCAGCAGCATCCTGTCGGAGATGGGCGGGTCGGGGAGCGGCGCCCGCCGCAGGCAGCGGTGGCACCCCTGAGCACTGTTAAGGGGCACAGGGAACATCTGCGGCCAGGAGCAACCGTGGGGATTAAAATATCCCAGATAAATAAAATTACCTCCTTCGACAGCTATGCTACGGGCAGGCATCCTCATCTAAGGGCAGGGAGGAAAGTCCTGGCTCTTCACACTCCTTGGAATATTTTTATCCTTCTGGTTTTTGTTTGTTTGTTTGTTTTTTTTTTTTTTTTTTTTTTTTTTTAAGGATAAAAAGCTGCCTTCTTTTGCAGTGATGAACAGTATGACAAAAGTTAAACTACTCTGCTTCTACTACCCCACACAGACAAGAAATGCTCAAATTAACACTGAGCCTTTCACGCATGCAAGGTCAGTGTAGTTTTGTAGGACAGAAAGTGTTTTTGGTTCAGCACAGATGACAGATTTAGGACTGCTTGTACTACAAGGTAAATAATACAACAAAATACTCGAAAAAGGTCTGTTAGATCATTCTTTCCAGTAAGTAATTAATTTAATCTAAATTCCCGGGAAATACAGTGCTCTGAACCCTGACACTCATCGACCAGCGTTTAGCAGTAAATAAAGCAATCCCATTCCTAAATCAGAATATCAATTTTGAGCCTGACATGATTGAATTGTAGCTGATTTGCATTAATTACAGAAATACCATTGTGGTAACAATATATTTTCAAACAAGCTTAGAGGGTCTTTTTTCTTGGCTGCCTGAAGGTAATGTAGGACCACACTTCTGCCAAAAGCAGTGCTCCTGCTGCAGATCTGGTGCCTTGCATTAGTGATCACACAGCTGCTGACCTGTCTGAGAACTGTACAGCAGGAGCTGAGCCAATCCCACCCTCTGCACCATCATTTATCCATTAGTGTCAATGCAAGGAAATATGTAGCCTGGGCAGGACAGGGGTAAGACTGGATCACCTCTTTCACAGGCTTAAGTCACCTGGGAAACTTCCCCTGAGGTTTTGAAAGATAGCAAATGACAGAAACTCATTAAGACCAAAAGAGAAGAAAATTATTATATTCCTTTTTTTTTTCCTTAATGAATATCAAAAATATAATTCCACAAAAGCAGACTCAAGTGCAAGCATTGTTTCAAAGGCACAGCACTTCTAAAGAGACTAGAATTTTCCATTATCTTTAGGCTCCTTGTTCACTTCAGTCCTTAAGTCTCTGGCCCAAAGGTGGCTTGTGCATGAGCCCAAAGTTGACTGTTTTTTGTGACTTCACCAATGACAACTGAGTCTTCTTCACAGACACTTGCACCAGGCCTGCACCATGACCTTTCATCTCACCAACCCTTCCACATGATCCACTGTGTGCAACCCTGTGCCGAGAGACGCAGATATTTTTTTTCTGCATAAGGTGCTGATTATTTTTTGGTTGGTTTCACAGTGATAGAAAATAATAAATTGGTCATGTTAGTCCACAGTTAAAAAAAAAAACTGTAAGAATGACTCGCATACGTATCAAAAAGCTTGTGTTAAGCCACTGTAACCGTGGTGTCCATACGGCAGAGCTGTCATCTCTGTACACTCAGTAAAAGAGAAGCTTCAACACTCTTCAGTCAGGCTGGAAGAGTGATGTGTTAATCCGCTCCCATTAAAAAGACAGCAAATTCCCAGTTGATCACCTAATTCAAATTAAGCACGTGTAATCTCACGGTGGCACTCACAGTGGTGTTACCGTAATGCGTACATAGAGACTGACAGCATGAAGTGTCCTGAGGAATGCTCAGCTTCCAACGGTAATGTCACGTAGGCACTCTGAATTTTAATGTGGGTCATTAAGACCCAACTCCTGTAGTCACTGTTCTAAAGACAGAGCCTTTTAACTGTCGGTCTTGTGCAAGCTACACAAGGGGTGTAGGCAATGTTACAGGTTTTCTAGTTCGTGGCAGGAAGGGGGAGTCCCATCAGAGTCCACCATGGAGGTGTACTTTATTGGAGGTGGTGGTGGCTTGAAAGATGGAGGTCTGTTCATACTGAAATAGAGGAGAAAAAATGCACTATCACACAAAAACTGCATAAAAGACTGATGTAAAATGATCACAGGAGGGGGTAGATTGACACTAAGAGCACCTGACATTAGCTTTTACATAGTGTAACTTCCCTGATTCTGTTTTATAACCAGCACACCTCCTAGTATTCATTTGGCTTTCTCAGCTCACACTTCACAATTTTGCTTTATTCATGTTTTAAAAGAACAGAACGTGGTTCTGATGAACCATTCAAAACCAGAGGTCTTTTGCTCACACTACTCTCTGAAGGTATATTTAATGACTTGCAACTTTTTTGGGGTCAGTTTATAAGCCAAGATAAATAAAGGTCCCATCCCAAATCATTGAAAAAAATCAACCCTATTTTTCCCTTCTGTATACAGGATTTGTAGTTGTGTTCCGAAAGGGTTTTCCAGAACTATAAGTGATGCATTTTCACCATGAATTTTCCAACATTTTAATAATGTTAGTCAGATTAAAAATAATTGTCTCTTAGA